TTTTTTTTTTTTTTTTTTGAGACGGAGTCTCGCTCTGTCACCAAGGCAGAGTGCAGTGGTGCAATCTCAGCTCACTGCAACCTTCGCCTGCCAGGTTCAAGCAATTCTTCTGCCTCGGCCTCCCAAGCAGCTGAGACTACAGGCATGTGCCATTATGTGCGGCCAATTTTTTGGGTTTTTAGTAGAGATGAGGTTTTACCTTATTGGCCAGGCTGGTCTCGAACTCCTGACCTCATGATCCACCTGCCTCAGCCTCCCAAAGTGCTGGGATTACAGGCATGAGCCACTGTGCCTGGCCCTGAGAAGGGATTTTATTTGTGTTGGAGACAGACTGGATAAACTCCAAGGAACCTTCCTTTATGGAGGTTCTAGAGCCAAGTCTTGTGCTCATCATGGGGAGGGAGGCTCTGTGGAACCGAGACCTGGGCCCCCTGCGTCCTTGCCCCCAGACTGCAGTCTCAGCCAGCGGCTCCCCCACGGGTCCTGCCTGCTTGCTTGCTTGGGTTTTCCAGCAAGCCCCAAGGACACAGTAGGGCATGAAACAGCTTCCCATCTGGTACATGGTGGGGAGCCACAGGGCGTGGCAGGGCTCTTGTGCTCATCAGTGCGTGTGTCTTGCAGTTTCTGTGTGGCTTGCTGGCCACCATCTTCCTGGACATCGTGCACATCAGCATCTTCTACCCGCGGGGAAATCTCACGGACACGGTCCGCTTTGGCGCGGGCATGGCCATCCTCAGCTTGCTGCTCAAGCCGCTGTCCTGCTGCTTTGTCTACCACATGTACCGGGAGCGCGGGGGTGAGCTCCTGGTCCACACTGGTGAGGCCACCACCTCCGGCCAGCTCCCCACCACTCCCTTCTCTCCCTTGCCTGGCCCCCAGCCTCTCCCCCAGTGAGCCAGCCTTGCCCCATGGGGCCAGCGCTCAAAGTGCAGGGAGAGCATGGCATGGGCACTCTGTACTAGGCTGGATGAGCCCAAGCTCCTGGTCTCTGCTGCAGGATCCCAGGGGTCCCCTGGCTGTCCTGGTCTGCTGTGACCTTCCCCTGCTGTGAGGCTAAGGCTGGGCCCTTCTCACAGCCTAGAGCACAGGCACAACTGGGGGTGCCATTTAGTTCCCAGGGGCAGCCCTGGGCTGTCTCCAGCATGAGGGCCACGGGCACCTACAGGTCTCCTCTCTGTTCCCATTGGGCCCCAACACTGGAACCCCATTTCCTGCCACGTGGGGTCTTTCCTCTCCTGCGGCAGAGATTGTGCTAGGTAGCCAAGGAGAGTCTGCTGTAGCGTAGGCTGTGGGAGCCTCAGCGAAGACGGCCCTGAACTGTGGGCACTCTCCCCACCCACCAGCCCCGCCCCACTCGCCCAGCCTCACCCCCACCCCGCCCTCTCCCACGCCCTCTCTGAACTCCTGTACCCCTTCTGCTGGTGGCTGAGCCGTTTGCCTGCTCTCTGACACCTCTGTCTCTCCTCCTTTCTCTCTCTTTGAGAGGAGTGGAGGGAGGTGGTGGGGTGTGGCCTCCTACCTTTCACTCCTGAGAAGAGAGGCCCCAGGTGGCCTATGACTGCCACCAGCTGGTCGAGGGTAAGAATGGCCTGGGGCTGCCCCCAGGGAATGGACGCCAGAATATCTCCCCTTGGACAGATGAGGAAACTGAGGCCCACAGCCCTTGGGACATGCTCAAGTTCCCAGGATGAATGTGCAGAGGAGGGGATGAGCATGAGGAGTGTGAGGTGCTTGGAGCCTAGGGTCCTGCCTTGGACTCAGCCCCAGCCTTCGAGGCCGTCTGAATACAGTAATGTGGCGTCCTCCTGCCTGAGAGGGGAGCTGAAGAGGAGCATGTGGGCCCGGGGCTGGTGTCCCTCTGCCCAGGTTCCTGAGCACGTGCTGCCTGAGGAACCACCCCATGGCACAGTGGCCTGGAGCCTGGCTTTGGCTTGGCTGCCTAGGTGTGGGTCCCAGCATCATCGCTTCCAGCTGTGTGATCTCAGCAAGTCATTCATCTCTTTGACCTGCAGTTTCCTCATCTGCAAAGTGAGGATGATACCCGCTGCACAGGGGTACAGGAGGATTGAATAATGATACATGCTAAAAGCTTAGTGCCTGGGGCTGCTGCCTCTATCTCTGGTGGTGTCAAGATGCCCAGCCCCAGGGTGGCAGGGGTGGATCTTGTGTTGGACTCAGCAGAACGTCTTGAGTTCTCCCCATTCACTTTTCTTTCCCATCATGTCCCCTGCCACCCAGGTTTCCTTGGATCTTCTCAGGACCGTAGTGCCTACCAGACGATTGATTCACCAGAGACACCCGCAGATCCCTTTGCAGTTCCAGAGGGCAGGGGTCAAGATGCCCGAGGGTACTGAAGCCAGCCATGCTGCACCCGGCCCCACCCCAGGTTCTAGGGATGTTCCTGACCTCCATCTCTGGGACCTAAGATGGAATGTGTCTCCAGCTCACAGGTTACCTGAACCAAGTACCCTGAGAGGCCAGGAGCCCCCATGGGCCACCCAGTGCCACCCACACTCCCGTCCCAAACTGCCGGAGGCCTCCCTCCCTTCAGGGCACCTGCTGGTTCCCGGGCTGGAATGAAGATCTTTCTTCACCTCCTACCCCATCATGGCACCACAGAGGCCCCCAGCCGAGTCCTGCCTGACTGTGGCAGGCTCAGGCCTTTAAGTCCTGGTGATGCCTGTTTGTCGGGCTTCGGGGGAAGCCCTGAGAGCTTCAGGTCTGCTCAGCCCCAGGAGCAGTCTGGCATGGGAGTGAAGTCCTGTGCGTCTCACTGCCTGGTCACGTGGTTCCTAGCTACCCAGGGCTGGAGGCCAGAGGCACCAGCAACACTGACACACCACAGCCTCCAGCCTCCCTTTCAGAGCCACAGCATTAAAGTTTGGGGAGTTCTGTAGATGGGCTGTGTTTTGAGCCACTTTCAGTCTCCTGGCTGGGGTGGGGACCGGCCTTGTTCTTGGGAAGATTTCTCCTGCCAATTCCCAGGTGGAGCCTGCGTTGGGCCACCCCATTCTGTTGTGGCAGGAGGAAATGGGCATGTTCGTTGGCTGAGCTGGGCTTCTGCCTGCCTCTGGCCTAGCAGAGGCCACAGCAGAGAGACACTGCTGGGTGTGGTGTGTGGCATCCATTTCTCTGAACCAGATGACCCAAGCACTGATTTGAATCCTACTCTGCCACTTACTAGCTGCGTGCCTTCAGTGTCTTCTAGAAAGGGTGGGTGCCTGCTCCAGGTATAAAGTGCCTGGCATGAGGAGGGCTCCCTAAGTGATGGCGAAGTTGTTAGTGGACTTGCTCCTCGAGCCAGTGATCATGCTGGGTTAGGTGGCAGGGGCGACCCCTTCCTGGTAGCCCTTGTGTCTGGTCACAGCTGACTTGGGCTGAATCATCCAGAAGCTCCCCAGGGCCCGGACCTTCCCCACTGACAGGTCTGGCTCTCCACAGCTTGCTCTTCTGCCCCCTGGGCCCCAAGTGCCAGGACCTTCCCGGTCATCCTGGCTTGTCCCGGGCACAGGGTCAAGGCCTAGTGCACAGCCCCCATCATTCACTTGTGTCCATTTGTCAATCAAAAGAGGCTGAGTACCTGCCTGGTGCCAAGCGGGCTGGGGGCTGCAGTGGTGACCTTTGGAGCCTGCTCTCTCAACCTAGGAGTCTTCCCACCTGGAGGATGACAGACGAGGCAAGAGCCCCAAAAGAAGGGGACATAGGCCTCTGGGCCCAGAAGGAAGGCTGCTGTGGGGAAGGGGCTATGCTCTGAGGGCTGCTGAGCAGCAGCAGTTGTGAGAAACTGGAAACAGCCTCACTGTCAGGAGATGGTCTAGTAAGCCACGGTCCATTCATTACAGGGAGCACAGACCAGTAAGCCA